AAGCTTTGGGTAGTAATATTAACTGTGAAGTGGTATCTTTGTTGTAATGATCAAACATTGACAATAAGTTATGTCAAATAACAAAATCTATCTTTTGATGGATTTATTATTCACATTAGGTTTCCTTGACAATTGGCACATGTTTATCACCACAAAATGTGTGTGTAATTGTGCCAAGTCTTAATCATGTCTTTGGACCGATAAATACCCGCATGAGATACACAGACATGAATTTCAAAACATCCATATAAACAAATCTAGACAAGAGAATCACTTTGACATCTTGTTTGAATTGACTTATATTTAGAACATTAGAAAATTAAATTTCCGTAGACGTTTGTATGAAATTACATTAAATTTAAAGATTTCTAAATTTGTTACCCCGTATATGTTATATAATCTGCAGCAATCCCAATTATATAACTATATATATATAATACATGATGTTCACCATTTGAAAAATGAACCGCCCATTCCGAATTATGTCCATTTCCAGAAAACAAAACCAGAAATTTCTGCAGCAGAGGAACAGAAATACAAAAAAACAGACGAGTCCAAAAACAGAATCTGATATCGCAAGAATATAGATGTACAAATTATCTATTCTGATGAAATCTACACATCGATATAACCGCTCTCTCATACACACCCTTGTAGAGAGCGTGTTATCATCACGTAGTAACTCGTGATAGTCGATACGACTATCCTGTGAGTGCATAAATAATGCGAAAGAGCGAGTGTACGACACCTGCCAACCTACGGCTCGACTGTACCTCGATATATCCACTTCTCTCCTCCTCTCAGTCTCCATAACTGACAGCTATATATAACAGAGTAATCGTCCTTTTCTCTTTTCCATCCTTCATCTCCTGTATATCTTTTGACGAGGAAATTTAGAAAAGAAGACAACAGTTGCTTCTCTATTTCTCACCTGGGAAGGAATGGGACCAATACCTTTTAAGGTTGTAATTGTTTTCCATAACTGAAGGTAATGAAAACCAATAAATTATACCGATTCATTGCGTTTAAAACTGAAAGGTTAATGAAAACCAATAAAATCAACCATTATTGGTTTTACAACTGAAAGGTAATGAAAACCAACTTTAATCAATATGTTTTAATTTCTATTTCTGCCCTTCATAGAAATAGAAATTATACAATTAGTATCTACACATTAGGTCTATAACACATATACCCTTAAGCCTATTAACTAAATTGAATCACTTAAATTGTAGGCTTCTTATAAATGATAACACCACATTTAATTATGTGGTCCCATTGAGACATTATCTAACATAAACCGCTTATGCAAAGCATCCATAATATAAACTTAATTCAGAAGTAGTAACATATAAAATATAAACAAAATATCAAATCCATCTAACATAAGTACAAATCCCTTACAATCTGAAACTTCAAACATGCACATCCACAATGTTAATGCAAACATTAATGCGCACTTCACCCTTATTATTGGAGAAATTACAATTCAGCCTATATTTACAAAATAAATTTCAAATCAATGATGAACTTTATCAACTTCAATAATTGAAATTATGAACTTTTCCATCACTTTGCAAAAAAATTTAAGTCTGTCAACTGATTTACAATTTTCCCAAATTTATTTTGTGTGGTCAACTACTTCTACTACATAAATTGTGGTTGACATCAATATTACATAAAGTACCATGTCGGGGAGAAAAAAATTCATTAGAAATATATGGTATCTCCAACATATTATCACCTAACCATCACACACACACACACACACATATATATATATCCAACTTATCAAATAAGTTTGTCCTACATATTACGTTTTGAGTACTCCCATGGAGCAGTGCGGGATAAAATTGGGATAATGAAGACTAGTCTTCTGAAGAAGACATATTGGTGGCAGATCAAACTCAATGGGTGAAGTTCACAATGTTTTTGTCGACAATTTACCGGACTCAATGCATCCAAAAGGATTATACGATATGTTCACAAACTTTGGGGTAGTCACAGATGTTTACATACCTAGCAAGATGAGGCATTTAACAAGAACCACGTTCGGCTTTGTTTGGTATGACTGTCCAATAGCAGCTAAAATTGCAATCCAAAAAGCCCACAATACCTGGTGTGATGAAAGCGCTTTGAAGGTCAAGCGAGCTGATTTCACAAAGAATTTAAGCAAAGTCAAACCACAAGCTGATTTTCAACATTTACCACCAGTGGAAATAGGAAAAAGATGGATGAGAGTGGACGTACCCAGCACAAAAGGGATGTCTTATGCAGAAGCTGTGATGGGGGGTAAAGTGACGAGGGGGAAATCTATCTCGGTGACTGCTAAGGAGTTTGGAAATGGATGGTTGTATGATAGTGTGATAGTAAAACCCTGGTCTCATTATCAATGCTCTAATCTTAAAAATGAGTTGCATACCAGAGGTGTGTCTAATGTGTAAATGAAGGATAGTGGTGCGAGAGTTGCATACTTAGTGTTTTCTTCACTAGAGGGCAGAAACAGAGGCATGAAGAACCTTAAAGATTGGATCCACAAATGGTGTGAATTGATGGTGGAATGGAGGATGGGACTGAAGATTGAGCAAGAGAGATACGTGGGCCTGAACTGCTATGGTTTACCACCCACTCTTTGGAATATGGCTAACTTCATCAAGATTTGGGAGATCTGGGGTAAGGTCATGAACATCAATAAGAGCACCCTTAATATGTTGTCCATGGCATTTGGTAAAATCAGGATTCTTATGTCACATATGGAGATGATTAACAGTGTAATTAACCTTGAATATAGAGGTCATATACACTCAATCAGAGTGAGTGAAGAGCTTGGTCCTAACTTGGTCTATGTCCCAGGTCATAGCAGCAAGGAGAAGGATATTTCTGTTAACGGCATCACCGGTGGTGATCAAATTTCAAACTGTAACAGAGGAATATAGAAAGCTGTGAATGATATGATGCAACAAGGAGATGGGATGGCCTATGAAAAGGATGTGTCACAAGCTGCAAATGGTAATGACAGAATAGAGGCAGAGCCTGAGGGAGCAGATAGTAGTCTTTTTGCTGTTTCTGTAGTAAATGAGACCTGCAGCATTATCGGGCCTAGAGTAGAAGAGGATCACTACACGAGGCTCAAGGGAAGTATGCTTAATACCTTAGTTGTGTATATTGCTAGTAAAAGTCAAAATGATGAGGTCAATATGGGCCAAGGTGGATCGTTGGAAGCAATCAAAAAGAAAGGGCAAAGAGTAGTCACAAAAACTGGAAGAGTTGAAAGTGGCTTAGGTTTTGATGAGCTTATGAAAAGCTTAAGTGGAAATGGGCCTCCAAAACCCAGCATTAATTTAGAAGTAGTCTTTGATCAAGCCCATTTTGATGATTTGCTGAATAAACTGAACAAAGGCATGTCTAAATCAACTAGGCTGAGACCTAGTTGTCGCAGGTTTGTTGAGAATCTGGATCCAACATATATTCAAGCCCAGATGGAAAATGGAGAATGTATTACTGAGGACAGTAATGAAGGAGATAGTCAAAGTAATCAAGATAATACACCTAGTAAGAGAATAGAAGGCAAAGAGAGTAAAGGAAGAAGTTGGAAAACTAGAGGAAAATAGTGATGAAAAGGGGGCTTCAAAAAGGGGCCATCTTTAGAGCAGCTGTAGCTACAACTGCAATTTCTTCTTAATTATCTCATACCAGTAGATTAAGCAAACATAATATGTTATTAAAGGAGGCTCAAACTACAATTTAAGTTGGGAAAAGTCTAGGCATTGATTTTGAAGGCAAAGATGATGAAGTTATGAATAATAATTGAAATTGAGGAGAATGACATGGAGCAAGCTACTGATAGAAGTGATGGTTCAAGGGTTTAGATCAGCATCAAGGGTGGCTCAAGAGTGGAAAGTAAGTTCTTATGAAGATTCTTTCTTGGAACATTAGAGGGCTTGGTAGACCTGAGAAGAAGAGGAGAATTAAAGTAGTTATCAAGGAAAGAAAACTGGATATAGTGCTGTTACAAGAAATAAAAAGGGCAAACATTTCAAATTAGTTTGTGAAGTTTATCTAGCCTTATGACCTAGTTGATTCCATGAATGTGGATGCTGATAGGAGTGCTGGAGGCTTGTTATGTGTGTGGAAGCTTGACATTTTTTGTCTAGATGACTGCTGCAGCAACAGGAGCTTCATCATACTATCAGGTACCTTATTTAATAGCTTGGAATGTGTGATTGTGAATGTTTATGTACCTAATGATGTGAGTGCTAGGAGAAGCTTATGGGTCTCTTTGATCAATCTTAAGGTTGTTTTCCCTAAACAGTGGTGTATAGAGGGGGACTTTAAGGAAATCAAATCAATAGATGAAGGAAAGGGTTGTGTAAGAAGGGATAGGGGAATGAGAGATTTTTGTAATTTCATAAGTAGCCATGAACTGATTGACTTACCTATGTTGGGAAGAAAATTTACATGGAGTAATTCATTGGAGGGTGAGAGATGGAGCAATTTAGATAGGTTCCTTGTTGGACCAGAATGGTTGGTCTGGTTTAGGTACAAACTTTGGGGTCTTCCTAGATCCATTTCAGACCATTGTCCAATTATCCCAATGAAGGATGCTAGAAACCGGGGCCCAAAGCCTTTTAGATTCATCAATACTTGGGCATCTCATCCAACTTTTCTTAATGAAGTGAAGAAAATGTGGGAGGGTACTCAGGTGGAAGGTTGGGCAGGGTACAAACTGAAAATCAAGTTGAAGGCACTTAAACAATCTCTAAAGTAGTGGAACTCTGAAGTGTTTGGGAATATAGACTCTAAACTGAAGCAAGCTGAAGAGAATCTACATGCCCTAGATCTAATTGCTCAGAGTAGACCTGGATGAGGATGAGGGTAAAAGGAGAAGAGAGGTGAGGGGTGAAGTATGGAAGCTTAGAAAGGTAATGGAAAGAATTTAGCTGCAGAAGTCAAGGTTGAACTGGAATCTTAAGGGAGATAAAAATACAAATTTTTTCCACATCATAGCTATTAAAAGACAGAACACAAATGCCATTGATTCCATGTCAGTGAATGGGGAATTAGTGAAGGAACCTTTTGAGGTTAAACAAGTTGTGTATGATCACTTTAGGTTAAGCTTCTCTGAGCAATAGAAGTATAGACCCAAGCTCTTGAGCCCATTTAATGTGATTGCACAGAGCCAACATTTCAAAAGTTTGGATATGGAATTTTCTGAACATGAAATTTGGGCAGCAGTGGTAGATTGTGATGGGAATAAGGCACCTGGGTCGAATGGGTTTAACATGACTTGCTATCAACAAGAGTGGAAATTTATGAAGAATGATATCATCATGTTTATGAAGGAGTTTTTTGTTAACAGTAGTTAGGTGGGGGGCTTAAATAGCTCATTTATTACATTGGTCTCTAAAAATGACAATCCCCTAGGAATTCAAGACTATAGGCCTATTAGTCTTATAAATTCCACTTACAAAATTCTATCCAAGGTGCTTGCTAATAGATTGAAAAAAGTGCTTCCTGTTGTTATAGATAATGCTCAATCTGCATTTCTAGGGGGTAGGAATATCCTAGAAGGTGTATTGATAGCCAATGAGGTGGTGGACTAGTGGAAAAAATCAAGAAGAAAGGGCTTGATATTAAAGTTGGATTTCCAAAAGGCATATGATACAGTCAATTGGAACTATCTCCTCCAAATGCTATCAAATTTTGGGTTTAGTGCTAAGTGGGTGAATTGGATTCATACCTATCTTTCTTCAGTAAAAATCTCTGTGTTGGTTAATGGTTCACCCACACCAGAATTTTGCCCTAAAAAAGGGCTTAGGCAAGGTGATCCATTATCACCTTTCCTATTTAATGTGGTGGCTGAGGGTTTGAACCTACTTCTTGCAAAAGCAAAAAGGCTAGGCTTGATCAAATGAGTAATCATTGGGTCAAATGCCATCAACATCTCCCATCTCCAATTCGTGGATGACACAATTATCTTCTGTGAAGCTAAGTGGTCTGAAGTGTTAACTGTCAAGAGAATACTAAGATGCTTTAAGATCATCTCTGGGTTAAAGATCAATTTTCACAAGAGTGGTGTTTGTGGAGTAGGGTTGTCAGAGGAGTGTGTGAAAAATTTTTCTTTAAGGTTGAACTGTACATATCAGAGGTTTCCATTCAAGTATCTTAGATTGCCATTAGGGGCTAACTCATCTAAGAGGGCAACATAGAAGCCTGTGGTGGACAATTTCAAGAAAAAATTGACAGGTTGGAAGAGGAGGTTACTGTCTTTTGCTGGCAGAGTAACACTAATCAAATCTGTCATTTCTTCACTACCTGTTTACTATATGAATCTCTTTAGGCTGCCTAGAGGTGTGGCAAAAGAGCTGGACAAGATACAAGCAGCCTTTTTGTGGGGTGATTCAGATATGAGAAGGAAAGTTCATTTAGTAAAATGGAAGGATTTAATCATGGATAAGAAGCAAGATGGGCTGGGAATAAGAAAGCTAAGAATATTAAATAATAGCCTTGCTAAGTGGTGGTTGAGGTTTGAAAAGGAAGACAGTTTATTATGGAAATAGGTCATATGCAGCAAGTATAAGTCGGAAGGGGGTAGATGGTTTCCATTTCATGTGGAGGCAAATAATATCTCAAGAGTATGGAGTGACATTATTCTTGTTAGTGATTCTAATAGCAGCTTGTTTAATTATTATTTGGAAAATGTTGAAATCAAGATTGGGAATGGGGAAAGAATCAGTTTCTAGGTTGATAATTGGATGGGAACCAGGTGCTTGAAGACCTAATTTCCTAGATTTTACTATTTATCAGAAGATATAGGCATCACCTTGAAATTGCAGTTGACTAGGGCTAGTCAGCACAACAACTAGGAATTCAACTTCAGATGGCCCTTATTAGCATGGGAGGAAGAGAGATTAAGGGTTGTTTTAGGTGAGGGCCCTGAATTGAGATTGGAATCAATAGATATGTTATGGTGGAAATCTGATCTTACAAGTATGTTTAGTGTCAAAAGTGCTGTTAAATGGTGTGAATCTTTGAATGGTCCTAATCTGGAAATTCCTGAATTGATCTGGCACATCCCTTTCCCTTCTAAAGCCCAATGCTTCTCTTGGTTGGCTTGGAAAATGAGGATAAAGTCTTCTGACTACTTACATAGACTTGGCATTATTAGTGCAATAGTTAGCTCTAATTGTGTGTTTTGTCAAACTGAGATTAAATCACTTAATCATGTTCTGTTGCTGTGCCCCTTTGCTTGGAAAGTTTGGTCCAATCTAATTAAGTTGTGGGGTTTGCACTGGGTTTCCCATAGCTTAGTGGTTATGCTAATGCAATGGTGGTTGGGCTGGAAGTTTAGAAAAAAGGAAAAGCAAATTTGGAGATCAATCTTGATTGCTGGTTTCTGGTCCCTATGGAAATGTATGAATGATTATCTATTCAATGGGCTACAACTTACCTATGAAGATCTTTGTGTGCTTATTAAAGTTAGAGTGGCCCTTTGGTTGAAAACTCATTCAGTTGGGCAAGGGTACACAGTGAATGAGTATGTGTTTAATATTCATCAAGTTAGAAGCTGTTTGTAGTGTGTTTGGGAGGGCCTTGTAATAGAATTGCTGCTGCTTTGCTTCAGATTCGGTTTCATCTTACTTTGCTGTCTATGAATTCTACTGCTGGCCTGGGTGTATGGGGCTATTGTCAATTTTGCTATACTGCTACTCTGGCCCACCTTTGTTCACCTATGGATTGCTATGGTTCAGGTTTCATTTTGTTAGTCTGTGATATGCTATGTTTGTGATCTACCTTCAATGTTTGGTGAGGCTAGCCAATTGGATAGAATGTGCCTTGTTGTTGCTATGGGAGTGATTGATGCTGCTATCTATTGAGTTGATTCTGGGTTAGTGAGTCTAGTCTTGTTTTTGCTGTTGCTGGATGTTCATTTTGAGTTGGCTTTTGAGTGAATCTCAATGATTAGTTTCCTAAGTTAGTGCAAGTTGGAGTCTCAAGGATATCAGTGCATGCTGCTGCTGTATGCTACTGATGTATGATGGTTTTCTTATTTTAGAGCTAATGCTAGTTTGATGTTGCTATTGGGTGTTCACTACAGCAATTCTACCAACTAGTAGCTATGAGGGGTAAAAGCAGAAATTTGTCTTGATGTTGGTTGCAAAGTATAGGTGGTTGTTAACACAGAGAGGTGAATGAACTATTATGTTGGCCTAAATTGCTGTAGTGTGGAGTGCTGAACTGTTATGGTGTCTGTCTTGCTGTGCTGAACTAATATGTTGTGCTGAATTGATGGTGAAAAGTTTGCTCTTGCTGTTGGGCTCCTGCTGTAAGTTTCATAAAATTCTGTCTATTTTTTACTTGGTAGCTCTCAGGTTTGGGTTGGTATTGGTGAAGATGGGCTACTGATAAAAGGAGTAATTACCCTGTGGTGGCTGCTACTGCTATAAAAGGAGTACTTACTCTGTGGTGGACTCTGCTACTATATATATGGAATGCTGTTTTGATCTGTCAACTAGTTTTGGTCTGTTCATTTCATTATTTTATTGTTGTTTGGTAGTTTTGGGTTGTTTAGTCTGTATCAGGTTTGGTTAGCTTTTATTGGGTGAGGTTGTTTTTGGTGTTTGTGGTTGGTTTCTCACCAACTCGTGATGGTGTACTAGCATATGATTGGGCAGTCTTATTGGTGCCAACCTAATTAGAATTGATTAGGTTCACTATGACGCTTTTTGCACTTATCCTCCTTTTTTTTATTTATATTGATGCAATAGTTTTCTGTTTCATCAATAAAGTTTATTTTCTTTGCTGATCAAAAAAAAAAAAAAAAAACATATTACGTTTTGAGTTGTCATTTTTTGTACATATTGTTTTTGTGTTTTTGACATTGCATAATTTATTGGGAAAATTACAATTCAATAAGTTGGTCCAACATATTACATTTTGAGTTGTCATTTTTTGTACATATTGTTTTTGTGTTTGTGACATTGCATAATTTATTGGGGAAATTACAATTCAGCCCATATTTTCAAGATAAATTTTAAATCAATGATAAAATTTATCTACTTTAATAATTGAAATTATAAACTTTTCAATCACTTCGTAATTTTTGGTCTTCCAACTGATTTGCAAATTTCCCTAATTTATTTTGTGTGCTCAGGAACTTCTACTACATAAATTGTGGTTGACATCAATATCACAAAATGTAACCATGTTGGGGAGAAAAAAAATTCATTATAACAATGTGATATCTCTAATTAATAATAACATATTATCACTTATCCATACTTTTTATGAAAAAAATTTCATGATCCCCAACATTTCTCTACTTCATTATGATGACCTGAAAGTTACATGGAAATTATAACATTGACATGGATAGATGGTTATAATTAAAAGGTAAAATTCACTCAATCATGTGTTAAGTTATAATTAATTTTGGCAATAAAGAAGTTCTGGCAATTTGGGTTGAATAATGTTAAGAATCATAAAAAAAATATCATGAAATATTTCATAAAGATTCTCTATTATTAGATTACACATACAATAAAAACACCACACTAATCAAATGATGAAAAATCTTTTTGAAGTATTTTATAATTTTTTTAATGATCCTTAACATTACTTATTTGGGTTGGACGAAAGCTTATATTTGGATTAAAGAAAAAATTACAATTATGTGTATCCTTACTTAATGACAAAAACAGAAAAAAAAAATTACAAAAAAAAAACTTTAACATGATGAACAACTTCTTTATTAGAAAAACATGCAAT